AGCTCCTGCAGCTCTTTCTGTAATGCAGGCAGGTCCTCCCAGCTTTTTGAAAATCCTCTTTTTCACTGAACACTCAAGGTGTTTGATACAACAGCATAAATCCCACACCCTTCCACCTTTTCACGTCTTCGAAGTATTACCTGGAAGAGATTACCAGGAATCCCAAGTCACACTGAGCAAGGAGTATCTTGGCATCTGTCCCTGCATCGCCCTGCTGGTGTGTTGGCTTTACTCTCTTCTTTTCCCAGTTCTGAAAACATTGTTCTCTCCTTTTTGCAATGAGGAATACCTACAGCAGCAACAGGAAACCAGCAAACTGAGTGGTCAAGCAAACAGTGGAACTCAATCTAGAAAGGACGCTGTTGAAACTGCTGAAAAGACAAAAAAATTGCAGAGAAAAAGGCCCTGTATTTCAGTTTCTTAATGTTAGTCACCTTATTTATTGCATTATTGCAGTAATGTGGCTACAGTAACTGGAGAAGCTCTGGCATGAATTAGTTTTTTGCATTTTTTTGTTTTATTTTTTGAATGAGATAGATTTCCTTGTTAGTTCACATGAAGTGTCCTTTGGAACAGCGAATTACTATTTTCTGTACTTCCAGGTGGAGAAAGAGACATAGACAATTATCTGTGATTGATGCTCTTTGTTACAGTAGCAAAAAACATACATTCAGGAGGGAAAATATTTCTGTTATTTAACTGCATCCATTAGATGTGAGATCACTGTAAATACAGTAAATGGATAAGATATTCCCACAGCAGCTTTCCAGGCTCTTGCCTTGGAGAAGGTCAGTGAGGTAAAGGCCAGCGCTCAGCACACAAAGGCCCCACTTTGGGAAGGAATCCCTGTTTATGTCAACAATGAAGCATGTGCTTTGGAGAGGTCTGAATTGGGGCTTAAATGTGAACCAGTGGAGGAATCCAGCCGGCTTTTGTGTGTAGGAGTACAGATGACATGTTCCACACTGGAATTTATGTAAATCCCAACTCTTTAATGCATGTCTGATTGCTGCTTTCTTAGATCATCCAAGCAGTGCATACATGACTAATGAACAGTACTGTAATTTTGGGTATCTCCAGAACCATTTCCATTTATCAAACCACATCCTGCACCTAAAAAAAGTCCTTTCCTGATTTCCCTTTTCTAATTGGTTTTAAGAAAGAAGACATTGGGGGCCTTAACTCTTACTTGTGAAGTGATTAATATATATGTGGAAAAGTAACCACCCTTTAACACAAAAATGCCAGAAGGCTTTTTTAGCTTTCCCAGCTTTGAGATTTTGGTCAGTGCAAAGCAAGAGCCTGTTGGTTGAGTTGAGTTGGGTTGAGTGGGAGGCCTTCCTTTATAGTTTGCCAATGAACCATAAATGCCAGTTTAAAACTGGAAGCTGGGGGTGAGTATAGGACATATGTATACCACAGAAGTGTTGAAAAGTTCAAAAAGTGAATTATCTGTAATATTCTGCAGGATCTTCCCCAAGGCTTGTGCTTTCTTTCAAGATTGTCATGAATGGAAATTGAAATCTTCAATGATTATTGACTTGAATAAGTAGCTCATGCCATAGAGCTGCTGATTCCTCCTTCCAGTTATTTTCACTGCCAGCATTTCCATCAGAGCCTTGAGGTTACCCCTCATCAGACACAGGAAAGCTTTTCTTTTCCTTCAAATGCATTTCAAGTGTGCTAGTAAAATCACCTAGGGATGAAAGAGTTTCAGAATGAAAAAAAAACCAACCCCAAAGTTAATTGCCTTTTTAGTTCTGTACATGCTGAAGTAAAAATAAAACTATGGAGTGGAAAGTACCAGAACTATTTTAATCACTAAAACTACTAGACCATATAGAAGAATGGGGAAGTTGATCCATGTGACACACACTTAAAATTAAGTTTTTTATAAAAACAACAAAGGTTTTGCAGTATTCTGAAGGAATGGTCCTACTCCTTGTATTGCAAAATCTGGGGTCATACTGCAGTGCATTATAGTATTCTTTCAAGGAAGATTTGTTGAAAATAATGCAATTCATGGGTTTTTTTCTTTGATATGTTCTTAAAACTTAATTCTCTGTTGTCAGAACCATTTAGAACTTGCAAAATGAAAGTCCACCAGTAAAATATGTACACATGCAGCAAATCCCCATGAAACTTGTAAGGGTTAAAACTACTGTGTCATGGGAAGGCCAGGCTGCTTGTCTTGATGGCTGTTTAGTAGTTTTTTTGTATCATGTCCCTTAACTTTGGATTGACAGAAAGTTCCGGTGATGCCCTCATCTATTCAATAAAGCCACATACCTTATCACTGTGACAGCTGAGTTGATAAGATACTCTAAATTAGGGTTTTTTCCTTTCAACTGAGAGATTTAACATCCAAGGAGCTTTAGTGTGCAAATAGCAACACTTTTTTGGAAAACTATTTCATGCTGAATGCAGCGTACTTGTCATTTTTACTGTAGGTTTCTTTGTTTTAAATAATTCGGTGGTTTTAAGTTCAAAATCTAAATGTAGACCAGAGAAATAATACATAGTGGCCTGTGGATTCCCATATGAAATAAAATCCATGTGGCAATTCCAGTTGAGGCCACTTTATAGGTTTTACGTACAAAATGAAGACACCATAAATGACCCATTTCTCTGCAGGGTTACTTAGAGATTTCAGCCTCTTCATACCTGAAATGAATCATCACGCTGCCCATCAGAAGTTTGTGTACTGATGATGTAAATGACCATACATGAGGGTATTCAGGAACAGACAAAGCTGACTCCAAATGCTTAAGCCTCATGTTCCGCATGTCACCACCCTTCCTTCCCCAAGCCTGCCTGCAAGGAAATTGCCTCATTAAGCTTTTTAGACTGAAGCTGCTTTAAAAAAATCTGGCCTGTTTTCAGAAAGACACAGTACTTTGAAACTGTTCTTTAAAAGAAGAGGTTCTTGTACCCAAAAAAAGCACATTATGAGTGTTGTCTGTTACAAGAGTCTCCAAACTGGTGCCCCCACACTTGAAATGCCGTGACCCACACGGTGATCTGTTGTCATTGCCCTCTTACACACAGGTGAATGCTTACCACAGGCCTGAAGCCCTCCCTAGCTAATAATGGGGGATTTTCTTTATCTGAGGACAGGATTTTGCAGCCAGCAGCTGCTGGCTGGTAGCCAAGAAAAATGGGTGTTCATTACCCATGGGAGCTAATTGCACTCATCATGAATGTCAGTGTCACCAGCAGAACAGATCCTCTTCACCGGGTGTGTTTTTCCCGGTCAGGCTGGGATGACAAATCAATCCTCCATGCATTAATATTTCAAATTCTCTCCAATAACCAGGTACTGTGTAGAAAAAGGGCTGTGTTGGTCAGGGCCCAGCTCTTCAGTGTTGCAGTCACATCCCACAGTGGGTTCACAAGTGTCTGTGGAACCCTTTGGAGGTTCAGTGCCCTGCTCTGTTCTTCAGCTCCCCTGCCTGACAGTGGGAATGGTGATGCTCAGTCTCACCACCCCTGCCAGATGTTATAGGGGCTCTGGTTAAAGCATTGTGCTGTGAAAATCCTCCTACCAAGCCCTGCATTGCTCTGTTGCCTGCAGACTCTTGGAAAGACCCAGCTCTTAGGCAGGCTGAGGCCGCGGGTAGTTTACAGTATTAGTGCCTTTTCCAGAAGGACTCTTCAGGGCTGTCTTTAGAAAATGCCATTTCTTGTGGCACCACTTGTCCCCCTGCACAGTGTCAAATTGATACTCCCAGTGCCAGCACACTGAACATGGTTGGCATCATACAGTCACAGCTTGGGTTTTATTTTTAAGTTTCTCCTGTAACTCAGGGTTTGTTGAGGTTTTCTCACACTTTTTTTTTACTGGTTAAATAACAACATTATTTGGTCTTCTAGTGTATTATCAAAAGTGTGGAACATCCTGTAAGTATTTCAATAGTCGTCTTCTTCATCACTGTTTAGTGACCTAGTTTAGATGTGGTGAATCCTTCGCATTTATTTCTGTATTTATACTTCATGTTTACTGTGGGACTCCTGATGGACAGGCTTCCATATTTATTTTTTGCTGTACTGTACCTGCTGCTTCTTTGAATGTTCTGTAGTTTGTAATGCAGTGGTCTCTGGGAGCTGGTTGTATGTTCAGAAAGTGATTGGACATGGCACTCAGTGCTCTGGTTGTCAAGGTGGTGTTTGCTCAAAGGTTGAACTCAATGATCTCAGAGGTCTTTTCCAGCCTAAATGATTCTACAATTCAGTAATGCAGCTGCATGTTTGAGGCTCGTGTGAATTTTCTCTTGTGTGAATTTTCACAGATAAACTGACCTTTTTGCCTCTGCCTGGAAGACTCATATGTGTGACAGATAAAACTCAGCCCCAGAGCACCATGCATGTTCAGGGACCTCAAAACTTCTCCAATTTCCCATCAGTTTGCTTTGTATGAAGTGCATCTATCTGTGATCTTGATACAGCACATGGAGGTTATTTCAGGATAAAATTGCAACTTTTTTTGTAGAGAAGACCAACTTAGGTGGCTTTACCCTGCATGGGAGAATGAAAAGTTATTGCTCTGTAATACTTGGGGTCTTGCTCGAGAAGACCACATAAATCACATAATCATAAGAGTCACGGAATGGCTTGGGTTAGAAGGGACCTTAAGGATGATCCAGTTCCAACCCTGTGCTGTGGGCAGGGACACCTTCCACTATTCCAGGTTGCTCAGAGCCCATCCAGCCTGACCTTGGACACTGCCAGGGATGGGGCAGTAACAGCTTCTCTGGGAAAGCTGTTGATCAAAGACCAGTAAAATATTAAGATTTAGAGCCTAATAAATACAGCATGAACAGTGTTAAACCCAGGGAGTTTGTACACAGTGATTACCTCTCAGAATTCAAGGTTGATTTGTGTCAGAGCAGGCACTTCTCAGAACACCTGACAGATGCTCTTCCAACTTTTGCTAGCTCAGTAAGGAAAAAAATAACCACCTTTACCTTTACTAATAGATAAATTTGCTTTCTTTTCTCTAGGACTGCCTTAAAGCTTGTCAGGAACAGATTGAGGCGGTGCTCGTGAACAGCCTGCAGCAAGTCCGGCAGCAGCAGCAGCAGAGCAACCCCTCCAAGACAGTGGATGAACTGGACCAGGCCAGCACTCCCACAGATGTGAGAGACATCAACCTGTGAGGACATCGGCACACAAAGTCACGCTTGCTCCCCCAGCCCCTTTATTTTTGTTATTATTTTTAGAGTGAATTTTTTTTTAATCTGCTCCCACATAGAACATATTTAAAGCTCTTTTAGGTATAAAGAAAAACAAAAAAAAAAGTACAAAAACTGAATAATGGAAAAAAAAAAAAAGCATTTGGTGCCTGTGATGTTCTACAGAAGGGAATCCCACAATATATTTGGTAATTGCTATTTGATTATGTATCAGTGGTATTAAATGCTTATAAAAGCATACAAAGTAGCTAGATCAATGTAAGCCTGCATTTGTGGGAACAAAGTAGAGTATACTTGTCTGTGTATTATGAACTAGTGCATACACCCCTTTTTTAGATTTAAGAAAGGAATCGTGTGTGCGATTTTGTGGCTTGACTAGATTGCAAAGCAATAGAATAAGGGGTTTAGGGCAAAGTGGGAAAAGATCCCTGAAGCAATTGAACTATTTTGAATGCAGAAGAGATTTGCTGATCTGTCACCTCTGTTATTAGTCAGAAGTGTTTGTTGGATCTCTGTATGTTAGTTTTGTTTACTCTTGCTGTCTGTGGTAGCTGCTACCTAAGAAAGAAGATGCTTTATTTTACCAGCCAGAAGAGCAGGTGTCTTTTGGGCTTTTTTTTTTTAGTTGATTTATTTTTCTTTTTTTCTTTTTTTCCCCCCCCAGCTTCCCCGCTCAACTTTTTATCTACTTTTCCTTCCAAAATGGTTCATTCTAAACACAGCAGCATCTTTGGCATGAGGGCAATTCTGTTTACCCAGCTGTGGGTCGAGCCAAAGTTCCCAAGTGTTCACGCTCAGTGGTGGGAATGCACGCATTAATCCCGACCTGTTGGCTGGGCAGACCACCTCCAACCTTTGGATTGCAAGATGTGGTGGATCATCTAGGAAAAGCATTATATTCCTTTACAGTGCTAATGCTTCACATCCATGTTAACGTCTGGCAGCTTCTTAGCTTGGCCACAAAGACATTTAAATGATGCTATGTCCATCTTCCCTTGTAATAGCTCCTCACTGTGTTAAAGAAGATGTGGTTTGGTTTTCTCCCTCATCTCTCTTCCCCCCCACCTCCCCCCACACTTTTTCAGCATTTCATTAACTTTATTGATCCACAGTGAGTGTTTTTGTAAACCATTTCATTCGAAAAGCACTTTGAAAATTGTTCCTAAGGGATTAAATGAGATGGTTTATGACAATTTTGCCGAGGAAAGAAAAACAAAAAAAAAAATATAAAAAAAAAAAAAGAAAAAAAGAAAAGGAAAAAAAGAGAAAGAAGTCACAAAAGCAAGGCTTTGTATAGCTTTTTGTAGTCAATATTTTCCAGTATCTGGTGTACTCGGTTAGCTGCGGTGTTGCTGGAAATACCAACACCCGCTTCAGATGACATTCCTGTCATGACATTCCGGATAAAAGCCTGACCATCTGTATTGTTCAGTGTCACAGAAGGATCTTAATACCACCTGCATGTTTATCTATGGACAAGGAAAGAAAATTGCTGGTGCAACAGCCATGGTGGTAAACATCGAGGTGCGTGACTTGGAGTTTTATTACAAAGGTGTATTCAGTGTACTTGAATTTATTTTCCTGCTCCACCTGTAACGAAGAGGCATTTAGATGGCAAAGGAGTTGGAGCAACTTTTGTTTTTTGGGTTTTTTTGGTTTTTTTTGTTTGGTTTTTTTGTTTTATTTTCTGGTTGGGTTTTTTTGGTTTTTGTTTTTTTGGTTTTTGTTTTTTGGTTTTTTTTGGTTTTTTTTTGTTTTTTTTGTTTTGGGTTTGGTTTTTTTTGGGTTTGTTTTTTTTCACAATTGTATTAACAGTTTGCAATACCCAATATGAAGCTGTTGGTTGAAATGTCAATGTTTGCATTTTTAACACAAAATCCAGAAAGAACATGCTACTTTGAAGAATATTATATGTATGGACTCAGCCTGTTTGGCTAGATGAGGGTAGAAAATGGAGTAAGATTCTAAGGTTTTGGGTTTTTTGGTTTTGGGGGGGGTTTGTTTTTTTGTTTTTTTTTTTTTGCGCTGCTAAGAAGCTATGATTTGTTTCATTCTTATTCACATTAACAGTACTTAGCTGTATTGTTTCACTGAGTGTGCTGCTATTTTATAAACATTTTTATAATATATTATTTTACTGCTTAAATTTCAAATCCTGAAGTAGATGGTTAAGTGGAGATATGATGAGTTCTTTGATTTACTGGAAATGCCCTGTACAGGTTGTTTTTTTTTTTTCCCTAATAGCGTGTTCATGATTACTTTTTTTTATTTTATTTTTTCCTTCTTCTTCCTTTTTTTTTTTTTTCAATCTCCTTCCTTCCTGATCACATCCTGCAAAGATGGTATACTTACCTCAGGTTTGCTGGACAAGAAATGGTTCCCATTTTCACAATACCTCACACAGTGACAGTTTGGTTGCCCCCGGGGCCCGCCGGGGAGAGGTTGCAAGCAGCCGAGGCGGGGCACTGGCTCCTTTTTGGTCTCTGGTATTCTTTTCATAGTGGAAAAAATGCATTGACTCTCCACTGGTGAGCAGGTCTGTCCTCCCCAAAGCTGCTGCTGGGCACAGCTTTGGCCTCGCCTCCTGCCTCGATGTTCTGCGTTGGGAGCACCTGGAATTCTGCGGCGGTGTCTCTGTCCTGGAGGAAAAAAGTAGCTGATGCTGTTGAAGCAAGACTGCAGAGCCACACACAGATCAGATCAGATCAGGTCAGGTCATTCCTTGGCAGCCCTGCCCTGTGTGGCTTCATGGGGAGCTGTGCCAGAGGGTCCTGATGGTGGCGTTGGCACAGTGTCCATCATGTTGGTGTGGTTTGCTCTGTGCCGTAGGCCAGGTGTAGGCAGGACCTGTGTTTAGGGTGCCTGCCCCTGGCTCTTTGTCCAACCTCCTGCACACCCCTGTCCCACAGCGGCCACGGATCACAGGGATGATCCCTGCAGAGGATCACAGGGGTGATTCTGCCGCGGAACACAGGGCTGATCCCTGCTGTGCTACACAGGGATGATCCCCTGGTGTCATCCCTGTGCAGAACTGAAGGGGCAGGGGCTGAGGGCCACCTCTGTGGTCAGCTCCTCTACAGAGGGTGAGGGCGAGCTGTGCTGGAAGGGGCAGTACATTCAGCATTCCCAGTCCCCTGCAGGGTCCTGGTGGGTCTGTGTGTCCCCACCAGGGTGAGGAACATCCTCGGTTGCAGTGAGGTGCTCAGCAAGTGCCAACCCTCTGAGGAACATCCTCGGTTGCAGTGAGGTGCTCAGCAAGTGCCAACCCTCTGGGTACAGCGTACTGTATGTTTAAAGGGTGCAAACCCTACAACTTGAGTGCTTTCACAATAGCTTTCAGAATAAAATGACTGCCTAGTACTCTCTTTTAACAGATGTTAAAGGAAGTGTGTTGTTACTGCAAATGAGGTGTGAGATTTTTCCCCCTGGATTGCAGAAATGGTAAACCTCCCAATTGATTGATTAGAGAACAATAGAAAATGTGTTGCTGATTCTGCCTTCCGAGTACCAAAGGATTGGTACAGTTGCTAAAAGCGTTTCTCTCTCAGCTTCCTATTGATGGTACTCTGATGATCTTCTCCTCCTTCCCATTACTGTAGTGTAGGAACACCTCATAATGTATTTATTTGTATTTCCAACATGCTTGTGAAAGAGAAAAATAACGATTAATCCCATGACAATGTTGATGATTTATGGTTGAGTAATTGGACAGCTCTTAATTACTCAGCAAACCACCTGGCCACTGGATTTTTTCCACTATGTTTATTACCATGTTCTCATGTACCTCAGAAATCACTCTCGGTTGCACAGTTTCTGTTCTCAAACTTTTTTGGGTTTTATTTTGGTTTTATTTTGGTTGGTTTTTTTTTTTTTTTTTTTTGCTTTATTGTGTGATGCCATATCAAGCCAACGTTATTCTCTCACAAATGTGCTCTTTAAGAGGTGTGGATGTTTATGTGGTCAGGGGATGCTAGGAAGTGTGGTAGTAGACATCAGTGTAAACAAAAGTATTTAGAAAGTACATGAGGTTGTTTTTGATGGATAAGACTCTGATATGGTGTAGTCTTGATTGCCTTTTAAAAGGTCTTTGTTCAGTGTTGTCATTTTTATTAATAACCTATTGTTTTGACTAGTTTAAAGATGGTTCTAAGAAAAGTGTGTTGGCGGGATTAGGTATGCTGTATGGACAATAAACTCACCTTGACCTAAATTTACTTACTTGCCTTGCTTTTATATCTTCAGTGAATTTGGTTGTATCACTCACTCCATGGTGGTGTTTCCTTGGTGGGATGTGATTCTAAAGCCTCTGATCTGAAGAGATGGTGTTAGCAGGCACACCAAGTGAAGGCTGCAGTCACAGAACGAGCCTGCCTCTGAAATGTAGCTGCCTTGCCACTGGATAGGCAAATTCTGGCCTGTTATTCCATGAGAGTCAAGGAGAACAAAGTCCTAAAAAGCAGTAAATTGCAGGATCAAAATATTTTGTCAGAATCAAATCGAGCTGGTGAAAAGCCACATGGAGTGCACATTTTTGCAACAAATTGAAATATGATATAAATCTCCACTCAGTTGTTTGTTGCACTGAAATGCTACTGCAAAAATCAGATTGTTTTTCTTTCTATAAACCTGGGGAAACCGTGAATAAAAGGAGTGGGATTTGTGGTGAGGCCAGTGGGAAGAAATGAGTCCATTGTCCAGAGTCTGCTTCCTCAGCCTGTGGCCAGGAAGGCAGGATGCTCAACCTCTCCCACTTCTGCCAATGGATGCCTGCCATGAAGGGACCAAGGGCCTGTGTGATGTGTTTGGCCTGACTTCTCCTCCACTGCCATCCAGTAGCAGTTTTCTCCTGAATTTCCAGCCTTTTTTCTTTCAGAGGCCCTGAAAATGAAGAAGAGGCATTTGGGAAGACATACTGGGGAAACACCATCATAAAGTGAATTATACTGCCAAACCCAAAGATAAATGAAAGGAAAAAAAACCCAAAAGACAAGCTTCAAGATAAAATGAACAGGGAGAAGGAAAAAAACTAGAAAGGAAAAAAACAAATGTTGCTAAAATTCAAAACTATATGAGCAAAAATAAACAGAAACAAACAGAAATAATCATGGATGGAAATAGGAATTAATTATGAATTATGGAATAAATATGAATGAATTAAAAATAAATAGGGATTAAATCAGGAGGCTGGGGATCAGGAGATACAGATCTTTCTAGCCATAGTCACACAATCTTGGGTCCTGTGGCTTTAGGAAGAGTTTCTGAAGACTTTCCTGCCAAATGTCTTGTGAGCGTCACATTTCCCAGCTTATCTGCACCAGAGGTAAAGATTGTAAAACATCACAAGTCCAGGGTTTTCACTGACCACCACTGAAAAACACGACCA